TTTTTTTTTTTTTTTTTTTTTTTTTTTTTTTTTTTTTTTTTTTTGTTCGTTTGTTTGGAGGGTGTTCCAAGGGGAGTAGGAGTTTGAAGTCTCTGCTGGGAGTTGCTTTCCATGTTGTCAGCAAAGAGTGAACAGCTGAGGCCCCACCTTCTAACGGGAGTGGCTTTCTACATCAAGAAGGTGGGGCATTTCCCTAGAAAAGGATAAAAGGGCCCGGCAAAAGCAGCTACATTCAAAATATTGTTAAAGTAATCCAAGGGTGGTATGTTACTCATCGTGCTCCTCAGTCTGATAGATTGAGCCAAAAATTTCAACCCTTATGAAGTAGGAGAGGATATTATAAAAACATTCTCTAATTGCAGGTAGCGTGTGTGCAATATACACACATATAGTATGTTTTGCCTTGCTCCTGCAAACACATGAGCTCGACTTTGAACTCAGTGACACAACTTCTGGGCATTGGAATTACTATCAGGAGTAAAGCTAAAACATGGGCAAGTATTTGCAGGAGTGGAGTCTTAAAATGTGTTGTGAATGAGGGCTTGCAATTTTACTTCTCCTTTGCAATTTCTCCATTCAGATCTCTGTTTGTGGTACTGGACAGTCTAAATTGTTCAGATGGTGCAATTGGTGCTGCAGCACAGGGTTGGCTGATACGTGCTCTCTCGCTTAATGATGTTGCACGAATTCTTGAGCCAGTACTACTGCTGCTTCTTCATCCAAAGACACAGCGCACATCCATCCATTGCATCAAACAGAAGAATTCAGCAGGTAAAGCTGCTCTCAGACTGAAAATGTAACCGTTTGAGTGAAGTAAATTAACAGTTAGTCACATTACTCCATTGGACTCCATTTTAAGCCAGTCTTTGACCTTTGGTGTCATACTCGTCAGTTTGAGGTGTCTTCTAATAAGCAGCAATGCCAGCTGCATATATCACTCTTCTCAGTTACACCTGTAATAATGCTTAAACACAATTATGGAGTAGGTCATATCTTTTTAAAGGTATAACGCCCATTAGTATCTTATTTTGGGTCAGCATTTCAGCAAAAGAAGCTCTAAACCTCCTAATAGTTGAATTGCTTTTTTAATCCAGCTATCTGCTTGCATAACAGTTTTGCTACCTTGTTTGCTATCTAATTGACTTGCCAATCATCATTCTCGCTATTTACATTATAGTAGCATCCAAAGGAAGTCTCTTGTGCTAGCTGCTGTGCAATTATAGAAGTAGACATGGTCGTTGTCCCAAAGGGTTTACAGTCTGAGAAGGTTTATGGTATCTCTGACTTGTACAATTCCATCATAAAACATAAGTGCTCAATGAAATTATTTCCTTGGCATAAATAAGATTTTTAACTTTAATGTAAAGTCAGTTACTTGATCACCATTACATTTTCTCTTAAGTTTGTCTTTCAGCCTAAAGGCTATTGAATGTATTAACTGCAATAATAAACACGGCTTTTTGAAATCTTCATATTTTTTTCAGAAGACTTACATCATTGGTTTAGCAAGAAAAGTGCCTCTTTCAAAGAGTCATTTGGAGCCTCTGAGCTACATGAAAGCAGTTCTGAAGAAAACATACCACTGAGCCAATTTACAACCGTGGACAGGGAAGCTATTTGGGCTGAAGTGGAAATCGATCCAGAGACATCTCAGCTAAAAAATGGACGGTCTGAAAATGAACCATCCCACTGTACAGAACGTCCACAGGATCCCAGTGGTGATCATGATAACAGTGAACACACAGAATCGGCAGATACCAGCACAGGACCTAATGATAGTGAAAATACATCATCTTTTTCAACTTCTCTGGATCCACAGGAAATGAGCAATGAGGAGAACTGTAGAGCTACAATGGACTGCAGAGAAAACATGAAGAATGTTAGTTCATCTAATACTTTCCCTCTTCATGGCTCCAAATCCAGTCCTATGTTAAATCTTGTGCGTGCAGACTCTGAGAAAACTCAAGCATCGGAATCACTATCAAGTGATGAGGAGGTGGACTTGGAACTCCAAGCAATTACAACTTCTAGGCTGCTCAAGCGGCAGAAAGAAAAACAAGAGATGATAGAGGCTCTGTTTAAACACATTCTCTTGTATTTTCAGCCTTACGATTCCAAGAGGGTTTTGTATGCTTTTTCTGTACTAGAGGCAGTACTCAAAACAAACCCTAAGGAATTTATTGAAGCTGTAGCCAGTACTAGCATGGATACAAGCTCTACAGCTCACTTAAATCTCATCTATAATCTTCTAGCCCGGCACCAGGAAACTCTTGTGGGACAGAGCTTTTATGGTAAGCTTCAGACTCAGTCACCAACCATGTGTCCCCATTCTTTATTAATAGAATTGCTGACTTACCTCTGTTTGAGTTTTCTGCGCTCTTACTATCCATGTTACTTGAAGGTAACCCACAGAGATGTGCTTGGCAACAGAGATGTCCAAGTCAAAAGTGTAGAAGTCTTGATTAGAATGATGGCGCAGCTGGCCACAATGGCAAAGTCAGCAGAAAACAAGAATATCGAGTTTATACACAACTTGCTTGGAAGATGCAAAATTCAAGAGTTTGTTCTTCTTTCTTTGTCTGCTTCTATGTATACAAGTCAAAAACGGTATGAACTGATGACATCTGATAAAATTAATAG